AATTGTGAATTGTATACCAAGACATGAAAAAAGCTTTTGACTCAGTAAGCATAATAGCATTAAGAAAAGCATTAAAATGCTTGAGATTCCTAGCAAAGATATCAGATTTTATTATAAATCTGTATGAGAATAGAAAATTGAGTATTATAACAGAGTATAGCAGTACAGAATCCTTTGAAGTAGGAGATGGAATAAACCAAAGTGAGGTCTTGTCACTCTTGGTTTGGAGAATCTTCTATGATTTACTATTATGTAAAGTACAAGAGGCAAAGCTGGGTTACAAAATGCAGAACAATGTTTTAGACAATAACAAAAGATCTGAGAATAAAAAGCTATATATAGGAGTTTTAGCATATGCAGATGACACAACATAGGTAACATATAATCAAAAAAAGTATACAAGAAACAATCAATATATTAAATAAGTTTTATGAACTTAATAATATTAAAATAAATCTAACCAAGACTAAATTAGTAGTAGTAAAGTTAGAAGCTAAAATAATTGCTAATGATTTGTTTGTGTGAGCTAGTAACTCTAGAATAAAAATTTGGGCTAAAAGTTTAAAAAAAGTGACACATTTTCTAGATGTTTGGATTTCAGTTAGAAATCAGCAAAAATCAGATATATACAGAGCAAAAGCAAAAATAAATAAGATAACAGGCTTACTTAAATACAAGAAAATGTTGCTTAGCCAAATAGTATACATAAACAATATGGTTCTTATACCCATACTAGAATATAAACTCATACTTTCATGTCTAAATAAAGCTTAATATAATAAGATACATCAACTCATGGTTTGGCTTACAAAGTAAAAATATCAATACTATCTACAGCAACAAATGTGATAACAAAATATCCAGAAATAGTAAACTTTAAAAGCTTGTAGAATAGATATATAGAGCACCATCTTTCAGAGTTATTAAACATAGCTAGGCTTTTGGAAAAATTAATAGTAACAAAATTGAAACAAGGACAGTTAAGAGCAGGCTCAACAAAATGCATCTTAACAGATCCTGAACTTTTGGGTAATAGAAAATTAAACTTAAGAAATTTGGATATACAAATACTATAACAAGCAAAATTGTTAGGCTTTCTAATAGAAAAAATAATTTTATAAAAAGTTAGAATCAAAATTTGTCTCAAGCAAAAAACAATCTCAAAATTGCAAAAATTTTAAAAAAAGAGTAGATCTCATATAAAAAATCAAATACAAGTAAAATAGGATTAGTTTTGATATTATAGCTTCTAACAGAAGATGGAGATATATTATATACATAGAAACAATTAAAATTGGTACATAACATAGATTTAAGAGGGAAAAAAGCAAAATGGTTTGACAAATTAGAAAAAAAAATGCTTGCAGATCTAATAACAAGAAAAATCAAATCAAAGTATAATCTTGAAACAAATAATTCAAACACACCCAAAATAGTTCTGGAGAAAATTAAAAAAAATAGAAGAATAAAAGAATGAGTTTTATAAGAGGATAAAGATTACCTGTACATCAAAATTGAAAAGTTAAAGAGAAAGAAAATAAATATGTAGAGATAGAGAATTTTATTAAGATGGAAACATTACAACAAGGATTTGAACAAAAAATACTAGAAAGTGTTAAAAGTCAGGTGCCTATTTTAGTAAAATGTAGAAAACTAAGAGATATATCAAACTTAGTGCAAAAAACAAAAATCAGCCCACAGATGATCTTTGGCATGCATACTCTAGAAAAAGCAATCAAGAAAGACACAGAGAAAACAAAAGCAACTGCACATGAGATACAAAAAATTAAAAAAAGAGAGTTGTTGGTGTTAGATTGTGTAAGATGGAAAATATGTTTGATAAATAAAATAGTTAAAGATAGTATATTTAGATATAGCTTACTAGAGATTTAGAACAAAACAAAACTTTAGATAGTTTAGTTTTTTATACAGATAGCTCACTTGTATTTTCAGAGAGCAGATCCAAAATGGAAATGAGATGTAGATTAGTACAAGTTACAGAAGAAAGTCACATCATATGTCAATTAGTATATAAAACTGAAAAGTAGTTTTCATCAACACTTTACTGAAACTATAAAAAAATAAAAAATATTATTATTATATATTTATTATGTTTTTATTATGTTTTAAAAAACATAATAATTACTAGTGATAATTTAATAATAATAATATAAACAATACATATTAAGCCTATTTTAATAATATTATTAAAAATGTTTTAAAACTATTTTTAAACCATTTTAAAAACAAATTAATTATATTTATATTTATAGAAAAAATCTATTTGTAACAGCCTGTTACATAATAGCCTGTTTAGGGTTAGTGTTAGTGCTAGGGTTAGTGTTAAATTAGGTTTAAAATTTTTATTAAAATTAATACAAAATCGCAAGAGGATTATTTTTCATTAGTATATTTGAAGCAAGTTTAATAGTAAAATTTTGTGTTATAAAGGATTTTAGGTATAGGCTGTTATATAACAGTCTGTTACGAATAGATTTATCCTTTTAATAATATTGAAATAATGTTTTAAAAACATTTTTAAAATGCTTATTTTAAATTATTATTAAAATATAATAATAATGATTTTATAATATTTTTAATAATATTTTAAAAACATTTTTAAAAAGCTTATTTTAAATTATTATTAAAATATAATAATAATGTTTTATAATATTTTTAATTTTTTTTTTTTTTTTTCCTTTGATAACCGCGTACTAAAATTTTATTAAATATATAACACTTAATACAAGACCAAGCTATCTAATAGGGTATCAGACTAAAAGCTAGCTGTCTCTCCGAGATGCCCAACCTTGGTTATTGCACTGATGTTGGCCACTATACCCCATATACGGTGCGCTGTATTTAAAGATATAATATAGCCAGGGCTCAGCTCCCACCTCAGGACCTCTTTTCCCTTCTAATTTTTCCTTCTTCTCAAGGAGCACAAGACAAAAGGGGGAAAAGTTTAAACCAAAAAAGACAAATATGAAAACGACCAAAAAAGAAAAACAAACAAAAAGAAAAAATAAACACAGATTTTGAAAAAGAAAAAACATGGAAAAAAAACTAAGACTCTAAAGACACTATTATAACCCGTGCAAGGTAATAAAAATTATATAACAAATACAACATTTGTATATCTCTCTTGGAATAGTAACGCTTCATCTTAGCATTAAAATTTACTTTCCAACTTTTCTACCAAATTCGGATGGCTCCATTGTCCAAGGACCTATATCAAGACTTCTTTTTGCTATAATTATAGTTCCCAGATTGAGTTCTATGCAGTAGCACCATATCTGTTTGTAAACAAACACGTGGTTGCAATCTACTAGTCTGTCCAAATTTGGGAAATAAACAATGCTGATCTTTTGGAGGGGATAAGTCAAATCCCCACTTTTTGTTGAAAAACTTTGGAAGAAAGGCAGGGAAGCGAAAAAAAGATAATAGGCACCACTTGGCCAGAAAAAAAGAGTGTAGCTTAAGAGAAGCTTATTCTTTACTGTTTCCCAGTTGTTTCACAACCGATAGCTTCATTGATGGAAGGCTTGGACTTTTATCACCTCCACCTATCCACCAAAATTTTGTATACAAGAGCACCATCTTTTGCCAGTTATCTTGTATACAGAAGCTTTTGGCTTGCATATCAAATATATAAAGGAGTCCCCGAGATAGCAAAAAGGTTAATCTTTATAAAAACCGCCCAGTTGAAGTCACCTCACTACAGGTTACTACTCTTTAGTATCGAAAATAGGCTTTTTTTTTCATCGAAAAATTTGGTCCAAGTGATCATCAGAAAGAGTTCAACTTTTGTTTTCTATTATTTATTAATACTAGTAAAATTAAAAATTTTAAATAATATTCAAAATCATGCTATTCAATATGGTAAAAGTTTAAATTTTATTTGTATTATTTCTTAACTATATTTCACAGAAAATAGCAAATATTAGTGCTATATAGTACATATATTATTCAAATAAGGGTGCTAACATTTATTACCTAATATTTATTTACTATAGGAGCTTACTCCTCGCTCTCAGGTAAGATTTTTATAAAAATTTTAGCTAATTAAATTTAACTAAGATAAGATTTTTCTTGACCCCCACCCCTAAAATATTATTTAATAAATGTTAGCACCCTAAGAAGTAATAAGTAATTATATAAGGTGCTAGTAGAAACCAAAAAAATTGTTTTTTTAAAATTTAAATCAAAATATTTTAACAAATTTTAAACCAAACTTGATAAAATTTTTTTTATTTTAATTCTATAACTATATAGAATTAAAATAAAAAATTTTATTAAATTTGGTTTAATAGTTGTTGAGATATTTTATTTCAAAGTTTTAAAAAAAATTTTACTTAAACAATTTGCTTGGTTTCTACTAGCACCTCTATATATATATTAATTATATACTGTATATATAATTATTTAATATACTTGTCCATTGGGTCCAGTGATTAGCCAATAGAACCAATGGATCTGGTTAATGAACCTGGGGTCTATTGGTACCAATAGACAAATATGCCAACCCTGCCCATGAATGTTATTTCAAAAAAATATGTTAATTTAAGGATTTAATTAGAATAATGCCGAATTTAATAAATTGTTGTTGTAAAATATTGTAAAACAGATTGTGTAGTATAAGATAGTTAAGATAATTAATAAGATATATTAGCTATAACAAAATGAAAAAAACTTATATTGTATAATACAAACTTAGCTACAAATTATTCAATTGGTGTTCTATATTAATATTAAGTTTATCTTAACAAATATATAAATACATTGATCTTCTGAAAAGGATTATTTTATATAATTAGTAAAGGTTCAAATTAAATAAATTTGATTAGTTTTCATAATTTATAATTACATTTTGTCAGTAAATATCGAATTTAATGAGTTGACAAACCTTTCTTTCTAATCCAAAGTTCGATAAAACTTACATAAACAAATCTCTAAATACCAAATATTAGCAATTTACTAATGTATTTGTATACCATTTCATGGTAGAAAATGAAAATCTAACTCTAAATCAATCAAATATATGTAATGCTACTGTGAAAGAGTGACAAAATATTAAGAATTTGAGAAACATTGAATTGATGATATTATAAAAGGATACTTAGCTATATTTATTAAATTAAGAGAATTCATTAGGTCTACTATTTCATCACAAAAAACAAAAGTTCCAGAAATTACAATCAGTAGTTTTTCTCATACTATGATAACAATTTCTATAGAACAAGAAATTCAGAATAATACACCAGCTCAAAAACAGACAGCTAGTTTTATAGAGGCTGCTGAAAAAAATTAAGAAGCTAGAACAAATATATAATATTATTTCCGATTCACAGCTTCTATATGATTTATATAACAGAATTAAAAGTCTAAAAACTGATATTCAATTATATAAAGAAAAAATGCAAAAATTAAAAAGAAATACTGATTATCAGTCCAAATGTTATTCTAAAAAAACTAAAGCAATAGAAGAACAACAAGAGATAGTTTGGTATGAAAAATGTGGCAGACCATTATTCTTACTTTAGTATTCAGACTTACTGGAAAATATCCATAATTCAATCAAGTATGAATCAGCAGATGTACATAGACGTAAAGAAGCGATTAAAATAAAAATTGTGAATCATCTAAGAGATACCCTTGAAAAAACTATAGTATCTATATGGCAAGAACAACCCTAAACAACCACCTTTTGCCTTGTCACTTCAACTTACTTGCGGCAAAGGTGTATCATTATCCCATCTGAGTAACTGTGGCCGGAGTTTCGCATGACAAAAGTTCTGCGCAGATTTGCAAATGAAAATCTGGGCAAAACTTCAAATTTGATACTATAAATGCAGAAATTAGATGCAGTTCTGTCCAAAACTTCAAATTCTAAAAAATTTTGCAGACTTTTTACAACAATTCTTCAAAAATCTGCAAAAATACAGATCTTTGCAAATTTGCACTTATTTAATTTTCCCAATGATAACTCATACGGTGACTTCCCCGAAATTCCGCTTCCCGCTATACTCGATTAATGCTATTACGTTAAGTAAATATTGGAATAATAATAAAACTTTCTTTTTCTTATCTAAGTAAGCATGTTAATGAAAAAGAAAAATTTTATTATTTTAATATTTACTTAATTACAAAGCATCATCGAATTATAAAAATTCTTTCGATAACGTAATAGAATTAATAGAGAATGCGGAAATGTTTGGTGGTCATCGTATGAATTTTATTATTATCTTACAGCGATTTTCAAAATACATGCATAACTAATTGACATACATATGTCACGGGCTAAAAGTAAGATCTACAAATTAGGCGTAGTAAACCCATGACTTTAGAAGTACGTATATTGGCTTCGAGAAACATTTCGTCAAGGCTCGATAGAATAATAATAAAATATTCCAGTGGTGGCCATAGAAAGGTAAAACATTAGTAAGAGAAATTCGCAAAGTATTTAAAAGCACAGTGTATTAAATCCATCTCTTAATAATTTTAAAGCCCTGAGGCTTAATCGTGAATGTAAAATTAATAAATATGATATAAAAAATTGTCTTTATAACCTTCGGGTTTATAAAATACAGTAGTCCTAATAAAAGTTTACCCATGAAAGTCCAATTTAATCTTACCAAATCATCAAATAACGACTCTGATGAGTTGCTTTTAATTTCATGTTTCGCACAATTGTTATGAAACTTTCATATTTTTATAGAGAATTTACATATAAGGGCCCGAAAAATGAAAATGATTACTAATAAGGGTCCAAAGTGAAAATAATTACGTAAAAGGGCCAAAATTTTAAAAAATATTATAATCAAGAGTCTGAATGTCTGAATTTATCATAATAAGATTGCATACAAAATTATATAAATATAAGGGTTTTATAATTTATCACCGTAGTGATGTATCACTAGTCCTAAGTGCGGAGTTTCAAATCGTGGTTACAAATCATGTTTTGTAAGCAAGATTTCAAACTCCGCATAGACTGGCTACGGCGATAAATTATAAAACCCTAAATATAATTGTCTTTTGGCATTTAAACTTATTATTTTTAATCATATTGCATTTATTCTCTTATAACCTTACATATAAAAATTATAATAAAATTGAGCTTCTTCGATTCTAAATATCTTCGATTAATGCATAGTAACCTTCACAAAATATTGATTCACTAGTTTGGTATAGCAACAGGCAGTGTTGAAAATTAACGTGCGGAAGGGGCGGAACGCACGTCAAAAAAATTTTCCGCGCCTTAAAGATCAACAATATGTGTGCAAAGCGCTCGTGGGTTTTAAGATTCTGAGCAGAATGCGCACATTAAAATTTTTAAATTCATATTTGTAATAAGCTTTGATGTGTGCTATTTTTTATGCAACTAACTTATGTTTAATTAATATTAATAACCCAAATAAAACATATTGAATTAAATTATATGAGTCTTTGCCTTGAAAATGACCTTATGGTATCATGTACCGTAAGGTCATTTTCAAGGCAAAGACCCCATATCTTTAATTTTTATCGATATCAAACTTATATTGATTTAAAAAATGGATAAATTTGTTATACGACATGCCAAAAGGGCTGCTAGTTAAATATTAATAAATTAAATTGTATTGCATAAATAAATAAATAATAATATATTTTAGTACTATCTGCTGTTATCTTATAAATTAATTGCGAATATATATATATAAGCTATTTGTTTTGCGCACGTTTAAAAAAAGCTTATGTGCGCTGTAGCGCACCAAGATAAATATGTAATGTGTGGCCCGCCCACAACCCTGATGCTGAATTTTCAACACTGGCGACAGGATAAACATATTAGTTTAGAACCGAATAACATTATAATATCTATATCGTATTTAACCCAGTCGAATTGTTTTTTGGTTAAAAGAAAGTTCATTAAGTAAAAGGTAAGTAAGTACTGTACAAAATGTATAAATCAATACACATGTACAGTTATAACGTTCGAAGAACCACTATCATCATAACGCAAAGTTATTTTGGCCCTTATATGTAATTATTTTCACTTTGGGCCCTTATTTGTAATTATTTTCATTTTCGGGCCCTTATATGTAAACTCCCCTATTTTTATTCCATCAAACACCATAAGCTTAAGACCGTTTCTTGGATGCATTGATTAGTTAATCAATATATCACTCAGGAGTTCTTAAGTGCAATGATCCCTGGATGATTCACATGACTCTTGTATATTTGTCTCTAAAACTATCAATTTTTTATATACCAAATCCTCCTTGTCAATTTATTAATATGAGTTATCATGTTAAATGGAATCCATTCAATCATGCATTCATGCTCATTAATTAGTTCTAAGCTGAAACGTCTTTACGTAATTGTCAATCTTTATGTTTCCACTTGAATTCTTATATCATAACATGTCCGACATCATGCTTCACTCGTGTTATATTCATTACAATGTACACATTTTCATATTTAGATTCTCTTTATAATCGATTTTAAACTTTTTAAATTATTTTTATTTTCACTGACTAATAAATAAAATTAAACAATATACTTAATTAATAAATGTTCTTTAAAAACAAAATGAATTAAATAGATCTTCATGAATTTAAATAGTTTATTATAAATACTTTGATTAATATACAGCGTGTGAGGGACGAACATGAGAAGTATCTAATAAATGTTCCTTATACTTGAGGATTAATTAACGTGAATAAAATGATTTAATATAGTTATTTATACTTTAAAGAATTAAATAGTTTAAGAACTTCTAATTTTTAAAATGAAAATTCAAATATACTAACGAAGAATTAACAATAACGATCATAATATTTTTAGAACTCATTTCTATACCTATTTCGTAATTGTAACTGGCTTCGTTGAATTTTTACTAAATACCCCGTGATATTGATATAGTGATCGGGGTATTTTTATTACATATCCATCCCAACAGTAACTGAAACTAGTCCTAATGTTACAAACCGGATCAAAAAACGCAATCGATTAGTCAATTATCGATTAATTGACTAATAATTGACTGGTTGGTATATCGAAATGGCTTGGATATAATTGCGTAGCTTTAATTACAAGATCAAAGTCGATTAGTTACATATCGGCGGATTTGTGAAATTTTGATAATAGAAAAACCCATGAACCATACCTCTGGTCAAATTTGCAGATCATTTGGCCAACAGGAGAAACCGTCCAAATATGGGTATGATTTTCTTTCTCCGTTACACAGATCACTCATTGTATCGACCAGTC